CCCCCCCCCACAAACCCTACTAAGGAAGAAATATTAAGGACCTGAGCTAAAATATATGTCGCGCTTATCCAGACCTTTTTACTAATTGAATTTATTTTTATCTCGTACCTGAATTTGAAAAAAAAAAGATTTAGGACAGAATACAAAGTTGATCGATCGAGTAAAATTAGTTTTTCCCTAGTTAAAATATATATATACTATATTTTATCGATTATTATTTTCAAAATCGACTATAAATATATATTTCTCAAAAATATTTATTGGCAATTGAGCAATGGCAAGAAAGCCCACTACCATGTCATTAGGTGATCACGGATCAGTTGCGTGTATCCAACGTTTGCTCCAGTATAAATCCGATTGTGTAGGGCCCGCTTCAATATACACAAGAGCTGGGCCCTCTTCTCTAATACAATCGCTCCACGTGTAGGCGTGACGATCACCGATGTAGGAGGAAAGACATAAGATCTCTAGAAACTTAAAAATTCATAAATCATAATTAAGCCGTTGCCTAACGCACTTTAATAACGATCAACAGAGGAAAAAAAGAAGATAAAACAAGGATTAAATTCTCCATTCCGTTAAAGCAAAAGAGGGAGCAGAGCAGATTTGGGCTTCGGCTTTTGCTTTACTTTGCTTCGATTCTAGGGTTTTGCACTACGACTCTGTTACAGAAACAAATAGAGAACGCGGCTAATCCCACTCTCTTTTTTACTTTTGTTAATACGGTAAGATTATTAACTACCAATTTGTAATGGTTTTGTTGATTGGATTGACTTTTTCTTTCACGAACTATGATCACGTTGCTTTCTTCGTCCTTCCTTTCAAAACGAGTTTTCAGCCATTTCGTGATTGTCGGTTATAATATCAGTTTTAACTAATTATTTTTGGTTTGCTTCCATTTCCTAGAGATTTCGTTTGATTGTTTTACAAACAATTTAATTCGAGAAGCAAGTACATTGTTTTTGACTCAATGGGAATGATAATTGTTTCCCTGTGCAAGAGGTGGCAGATGGGCTATGGCATAGTATATTTTAACTTGTAACATTTATGCAGTATAATAGTTTTAATCTCTGTTTAATGTTAGGTAAATGTATACTGTATGCATGTTTAATTTATTCTTAGCTAAAATTAGGTTACCATTAGAAGAATTCCGCCACGGGTTAGTGGGATATTTCTGGGCACTTGTCTGATATAAATTTTATTCTCATATTTGCAGGTTATTTTTGTTTCTTACTGTGTTGATTCAAAGGTTTAAGGCCCTTCCAGGATCAAAGTGAATAAGTAGGATTTCAAGGATGTGCTGAAGTGAAGTATCATCATCTCTAGACAAAGGTTTCGAAGTAGTAAGCTACAATATATGGCATATTAGGGGTAAAACGAAACCCAATGTAGGATACTAACACCAGCTTGGCTTTAGATTGTGGCAGTTTGTGAAGGAGGTGAATGGTGTGCTATTCATAGTCTAATGCTTGCCTAGGTTCAGATTTATACTGACATACCTGTATTTGTGTACCAAATATGGAATTATAGAATTTTAATATGGAAGACTTTAGAGAATCAGAGCTTCCACTTCTTAGCTGGATCAGCAAAAATCCTTCTGAGATGGCAGAATCCCCTCTGTTTATTGTCTCCTGTGTCATTGCTGGTTTAGTTGGAATTTTAACTATACTTTACACAGCTTTCCAGTGGAGAAGGAACACAAATGGTAGTTGGATGAAAGCCATAGCCAGATCAAAGAAAAACCCGAAAACAAGGAATAAGGTCCCTGTGGCTCCTCATACTTGGGCTTTAGAAACTGTTTCTCGAGGGAAAAGTTTAAATTGCGGTGTCTGTCTAAAGTCCATTTCTCCATCTCAGACTCTTGGCCCAATTGTGGCTTCGGAAAGTTTCTTTAATCGTTGCAGCATATGTGGTGCAGCAGCTCATCTGAGTTGCTCATCGAGTGCTCACAAGGATTGCAAATGCGTATCGATGTTTGGATACCCTAATGTGGTACATCAGTGGGCAGTGCGCTGGACAGAGGTAGCTGATCAACCTGATGAATCTTACTTCTGCAGCTACTGTGAAGAGCCATGCAATAGTTCATTTCTTGGTGGGTCCCCTATATGGTGTTGCCTGTGGTGTCAGCGTCTAGTTCATGTTGATTGTCATGCCAATATGTTCAATGAAACTGGTGATATTTGTGACCTGGGCCCTTTCAGAAGGCTTATTCTATCGCCACTTTATGTGAAAGAGCTTAACAGGACTTCTGCGGGCGGACTGCTGAGTTCTATCACACAAGGAGCCAACGAGATTGCATCTTCAGTGCGTGCTAGTATAATAAGTCAAAGCAAGAAATACAAACACAGTAATGAGAAACATGGGAATGGGACCTCTGCAGAGACAAGCAATGGTGATGCTACTGGGGACACAACTGCTGAAAGCACTGCTGATAGTCATCAAGTAAATGGTAATTGTAGAATAGAGGAAAAATGCAATGGCTGTGTAAATAGAGAGGGTGTGGATCAGCAGCAAGACAGTGGTGTGAAAAAGATGATATCTATACCCAGCTTCAAGAGGAGTTCATCCATTAATCAGAGGGATGAATCTCAATTAATAGGGATAAGGCAGAAATATGAATTGACTGATTTGCCTCCAGATGCCAGGCCTTTGCTAGTTTTTATAAACAAGAAAAGTGGAGCTCAACGAGGAGATTCACTTAGGCAGCGGTTAAACCTTTTATTAAATCCAGTGCAGGTGAGGTGAAGCTCCTTAGCTACTCACTGTTATTTTAGCATCCAGCTTGTGAATAATTCTTGCTCTCTCTATTTATCTATCGGTAGTAATGTGTTAATCAGTGCAACAATTACATTTTGAGGAATGTTACCACCATAGGTGGTTAGTTAATTCACCTGTCCTTTAAATGGCTTAGAGGGCTTGCGCTTGTAGCTGCTAAAAAGATTCTATGAGCCCTATTTTATCTGCCAACATGCTTTTGAAAGTGTCGTAACACATTCCTTGGATAATTGTAAATGTACCGCCTAATAATGTTTCATTATCAACGATTGACTTGTATAATCTTGGTATTTTGGTGAATGTTGTAAATTAGACTTAGGCAGATCTCTATCGGGCAGAGGAACAAATGTGGTGATAGATAAATACATTATCCCTTTACAGGTTTCGGTGCGGGGGAGTGCTAATTTCCTTTTATGCTACTTGATTATATGCCTTATGAACATCATTAAAGATGTCTAGTCTTTTCTGTTTAAAGGCTACTTTGTGGTCCAGCTTTTTCAGTAGATTCATGAATGTTTTTGCCAGCGAGCCAATGTGTTGATCTGATTTTTCATGGATATGCTAATTAGGTCTTTGAGTTGAGTTCAACCGATGGGCCCGAAGTCGGTCTGCATCTTTTTAGAAGGGTGCCTCACTTCCGGGTTCTTGTATGTGGAGGTGATGGTACTGTAGGCTGGGTTTTGAATGCCGTAGATAAACAAAACTATGTTTCTCCTCCACCAGTGGCAATACTTCCCGCTGGGACAGGAAATGATTTGGCTCGAGTTCTTTCCTGGGGAGGTGGCTTGGGTTCTGTAGAGAGACAAGGTGGTCTTTGCACACTTTTGCATGATATTGAACAAGCTGCAGTAACTATCCTTGATCGATGGAAAGTTTCTATCTTAGACCAACAAGGCAAGCTGCTTCAAGCCCCGAAGTTCTTGAACAACTACCTTGGTATGGTAACTGTTCTTCTTTGGACGGCAGATGATATATTAAGTTTGCTTTATTGGAGAATGTTATGATCATCATCTCCCTTTTCCAGTGTTTTTTTCAATTCTAATTTTTTTTTTGGTTGCAAATTTTGATTAGTGTTCGTTATTGATGTTCCAGGGGTTGGCTGTGATGCAAAGGTTGCATTAGAAATCCATAATATGAGGGAGGAAAACCCCGAGAAGTTCTACAATCAGGTATGCAGATCATCTTCTATAAGATCATGTGGAGCATGATAATTGGGTTTGTGAATTTAGTTTGATAAAGAAATAGGTCTGTATAATTTAAAGTTTGCTTTGACTTATGTAATGAATTGCATCATCTATGTATTCATGCATCTCTTGTTTGTAGGATCGTATGGAATTTTTTTGGCGTAACTGAGAGTTANAGGTTCCTGAGGTGGTGACAAAAGGCTTAACTATTCTTGTGGAAAAAACATTTTTGCTTCGAATATCTACTTTTAGTCATTTGATATGTGATTCTTACTGCAGTCTATCTTTTAGTGACTCTCATCATTCTTATATAAGTTGCAATAATACTATCGAACTCTCTGGAGATACTAGGAAATCTTCTATCATGATAAAAGGTCCAAAAGTTTATAAGGGAAATTTGGTGGATAATTCTGTATATTCTTCTTAAAGATGTTTTAGAGTCATCACGGTCTTGAAACCACCTTCAGCAACTAAAAGATTATTAATCTTTAATGATGAGTTATTACTTTGTGACTTGATCTGTAGGATGCAGAAGGTGTTCTTGTAGCTAATATTGGAAGCTACATGGGCGGAGTAGACTTGTGGCAGAACGAAGATGAAACTTATGACAATCTTGATCCTCAATCCATGCATGACAAGATGCTGGAGGTTGTCAGCATTTCTGGGACCTGGCATCTTGGGAAGCTTCAGGTATATAGGAAACGATTTCTGAGACGTTAAGTGTAGCAAAAGTAATTTTCATGGTCCTGTGGAAGCTGTTTCTTTTTTGTTGAGGAAAATTTTCACAGAGTGTTAAAGTAGCTTCCTCTCGGGCAGTTGTCTATGTTGTGTGTTCATATCCTTACTGGAGAGGCGTTCAGTAATTACATCTGCTGATCCTCTGACAAGATTTGCTGCAGTTGTATAACTGGAAGAGCAGTTTTTGATGGTTATTGACATGATGTGTCTATTTGATCTTTCTGCTTTTATTTCACTCTTTTGTGATAAGGTTACTGCTCTTGCAAACAGGTGGGGCTTTCGAAAGCTCGGAGGCTTGCACAGGGGCAATTGATCAAAATTCAACTTTTTGCTGGATTTCCTGTTCAAATAGATGGAGAACCCTGGTATCAGCAACCATGTACATTGACAATAACACATCATGGACAGGTCAATTACACTTGCGTATGCTTTGTTTTTTCCAAGAGTGGGGAGAGGGGGAGGGAAAATGGGTTTTCACGTTAAATTTATTGAACTAATTCAGCATCTATAATTTGACCCTGCTGCTGTTACAGGCCTTCATGCTGAAGAGAGCAGCAGAAGAACCTCTAGGTCATGCAGCAGCAATAATTGCCGATGTGCTTGAGAATGCGGAATCCAATCAAGTGATCGATGCATCACAGAAGCGGGCACTTCTTCAAGAAATGGCCCTTAGACTCTCTTAGACACTGACACTTTTTAGGTTGCAGCAGTTAATAGGAAGTTTTGTGTAAAGTTCTCTGCCCTTTTTTACAGGTTCTTCCATTTCACATGTAAAATATATGGAAATTAGAAATGTATACAAAGCTAGTTAACATCGAGTGAAGAGGCAAATTTTATGATGGTTGAACCAGTGTCCTCGTGGTCCTACGGTCTAATTTGTGCTCAAGTGTTTCGTCCCTTTGGGCGTGTTTTTATATAGTACCCAACAAACAGTGGCTGTAACGATATCCAAACCACCCAGTAGTTGAGGATTATGGGTTGGCCAATGCTTGCAGCTTTTAGCTGTTTGGACCATCGTAGTGGGCTGAGGATAAATGGTGGGGTAACAGCTTTCTTATATTGCCTGTTGTTTCAATGAACATTACGGGAAGAAGTCATACATAGGGAAAAGAATCGTTTCTGCCTGTGAGTAGTGTATGGGTCAAAATCCAGCTTAGGAAATCAGGCATGAGAAGGTCGTTATTAGAGAAGACTATGTTTCGATTTGGGCGGCCAGGCCGAGGTCGACTGAAGCCCGACAACGAGCAGGAGCAAGCCGTTGAGAAGCCGAGGTCGAGTAGCGAAGTTCATTCTGAGAAAAACTATTGTAAAGAAGTTGACTCTTGAGAGAAAATACAAAGTTCACTTTTTCATAGTGATTAATTTTATTGATTATTCTTCCTTTCCACTCACACGATCCAAGAAAGCCTTGTTCATTTTCTTACGTACTGCCATATTTCGTTGTCAGATATTATTATGTTTCACTAAGATTTACTTTGCACCTTAGTTATTTTTTAATTAGTTTAACAAAATGTTATACTTTTTATCTTCAATCCAAGTTTTATTTTACGTCTCGAGTGTAGGTACATTTCTTATATTTGGAGTTGGCTGATTTGTTTTTATTATTTTTAATTGTTCGAGGTTGATGTCCCAAAAACTTCTTTCAGATATACAAAATGGAAGGTGAAGAAAGAAAGATATACAAAACGGAACGTACACATTACTCATTTTTTATGCTTTTCTACGTAATTTTTTTTCTCTATTATATAAAATAAACAAATGCAAAAATCGATGTAATACTTTGTATCTGGTCATTGCAAATATTAAGTTATCTGTTTCGTAACATGCTCTTAAAATTTGTAAGAAGTCAAAAAAAAGTAGAATTTAAAACGAGTACAGTTTTAAATAAAATAGCCAATTAGTTGACATTTATTCAATTTTACTAATTTTGCTTTCACGATTGACTTGTTTTTTTTTTTTTTTTTTTTTTTTTGAAAAAAACGGAAACTAATGCCCGAAAACTGTTAAACCAATATATGAATATTATATACTAATAATTTTCTAACTAATTTACCAAAAGGATGGCATAATTTTGACCATTTGCACATGACCGCCATACGTGCAGCCGTTTCTTGTACTTCTCGTTTTGCTTCTCCTTTTATATATTTGACCAATTTATAAATTATGACAGTGTTTTCTTTTATTTTTATTAGTAAAAATAATCGGTACATACATTCTTACAAACGTCTATCACACACTCATCTTGTCAACTAGACTCCATACAGTGTTCGAATAACTTGATTCCAAGAAAGGCTGTGGAGCTTTAATAATTCATCACGCCATAAAAAAAAAATTAAAAAAGGAAAAAAAAAGTAAAGCTTGAGAAAGGATAAAGTGCAAGTTTATATATGCAATCATCATTTAACACACGCCCATATGATTTTACCTATTTAAAATTCAATCTCCCTCAACAGTCTTTCTTCGAATATCTCTAATGAGTTGTTATTAATAATTACGTACAATGGCAAACAAAAATGCTGATTTTATATGGAGAAATATCATAAATATTAGATTTTCAGATCCCAAGGTGACAAATGTAGTTAAGGTCATGAGATCCTCAACTATCAAAAAAATTAATTACTACATCACAATCGAGGTTTGAGATATAATCATCTACTCCCTCCGTCTCATATTATCAGTTATAATCATTAAAAATAATTGTCTCAAATTATTTGTCACTTTAGAAGTTCAAGACAAAATTAATTATCTTTTCCTTTTTATCCTTAGTAATAACTATTCCCTCCGTTCACTTTTACTTGACAGTATATTTTCATTTTTACTTGTCACTTTACGCATATCAAGAGAAGACAAAAAAAAATTCCTGTTATATCCACAGTATTTATTACTCATTTCAAATCATTTTCTCAAATCCAATAAAATATGCATCAATTAATATAGATATCATGGTAAATTATGCACTTCATTTTTTATTTCTTAAGGGGCGTGAAAAGTCAAAACGTGTCAAATGAAAGTGAACGGAGGGAGTAATAATTATCCTTGAAGACTACAACATTCCGATGAAGAAAGATTAAATATTAAGACATGAATAAGGATAAAATAGTCAAAATTCCATCATAATTAATTTTTTTAAGGGGCTAAGCTTCCCAAAAAAACTTTTAAGCATTTTGTTGAGAGTATGAATGTATTGAGTAGTGAAGTAACTTAAGATAACTAGAGTTTAGTCTAATCATAGTTTAACTAACTATAGTTAGCAATTAGTTAGTCCAGCTGTATTAGTATATAACTGGTAGTTAACACTGTACAGAGGCGGTTAATTGATAATGAAGATGAGCTTTCTTCTTCCCCAATTTCTTCTCTCATTTCTTAGCTCAATATTCATCTTCGATTCACAAATTTATCATGGTATATTGTCAGGAGGTGACACTATTAAGAATGTCTTATGTGTTCCTGCTTTCAAGTTCATTGTCGGTCTCCAAGGTGACAAAAGATCTGAACTGTTTTGCTTCCTTCTTTCCTACATTTTGTGTATTTCAGGACCTCTGGTCTGGGAGGGTGAAGGAGATTGGTAGGGAAGAAAATGGATTATACACCATGATATCAGTAGAGTCACACAAAATGATGCATTCTCACAAAGCCTTTATAGTAATGAAGCTAAGAGGTCCAGATATATGGCACAAGAGAATGGGGCATGTGGCTCTACCAGTCATTAGAAAACTACAATATTTCAGAAACAGTTTAGATTTCAATAATGTTCATAGATGTGAGATTTGCCCTTTGGCAAGGCAAACTAGAATGCCTTTTCCAGTAAATACTATAGAAGTATTGAAGCTTTTCAACTAATTCATATGGATGTTTGGGGACCTTACAAGGTTGCTACCTATAATGGAATGAAGTTTTTTCTTACATTAGTGGATGATTACACTAGATGGACTTGGACTTTTCTGATAAGACTGAAATCTGATGTAATTTTCATCCTTAAGAATTTTCTTGTTATGGTTAAAACTCAATTTGGCAAGTCTGTTAAAATGTTCAGGTCAGACAATGGGAGTGAGTTTTTCAATACTCAATGTAGCGAATTATTTCAGCTGCATGAGATCTTACACCAAAGTTCATGCCCATATACACCTCAGCAGAATGGGGTAGTAGAAAGAAGACACAGACACATTTTGGAGATTGCAAGGGCTATCAGATTCCAGGGTCATCTACCAGCTAGATTTTGGGGAGATTGCATTGAGACAGCTGTATATATTATCAATAGAGTGTTATCCATAGTGCTTGGAAACTAGTCACCTTTTGAACTGTTGTATCACAGACAGCCTTCTTTAGCTCATTTAAGAATAATAGGGTGCTTGTGCTTTGCTTCATTGTTGCCTAAAACTGACAAGATTGGGCCTAGAGCTGTGAAGTGTGTACTATTGGGATATGCAGCACTCCAGAAATGATATAAACTTCTTGACCTTGAGCACAATGTATATTTCATCAGTAGAGATGTAACCTTCTTTGAAGATGCTTTTCCTTTCCAGAATCCATAGGAGGGAACTGACCAATCCTTCCTAGATTACTTGAATATGAGAACACTCTATGATCATAGTACTCCAGATCATGAGTATTATCCACATTCTACATCAACTCCAGCTAGAGACTCACCCATTGTTCCTATTCCAGAGAGTTCCCCAGTACTCAACTCAGATCATGGACATTCAGAGACTTCTCCAACCCATTCAATATCCACTTCAATCCCTCCAACATCAAATCCCCCAACTTCTATGCCAACTGCAGTTCCAAAATTGAGTATACCACCTATTGAGGTTGCTAGAAAGTCAAGCAGGACTTCTAAACCTCCCATTTGGCTCAAGGATTATGTAACAGCTGACAAAGGTACACAAAGTAACAGTTGCAGATATCCAATAACTGCTGTCATAGGCTATGATCAACTGTCACCCAAGTATCAAAGTTACTTGTCTCGCTTCTCTTCAGAACAGGAGCCTAATAGCTACTATGAAGCTGCAAAGGACAAGAGGTGGATTGAGGCAATACAGACAGAAATAAAGGCACTTGAGGATAACAAAACTTGGGAGATAGTACCACTGCCTCATGAGAAGAGAGCTATAGGGTTCAAATAGGTATACAAAATCAAGTACAAGGCAACTGGAGAGGTTGAGAAGTTTAAGGCATGACTTGTAGCCAAAGAATACAATCAGAAAGAGGGGTTGGATTACCAAGAAACCTTTTCACCAGTAGTGAAAATGGTGACAATCAGGAGTGTGATTGCTTTAGTTGTTGCCAAGCATTGGACCATCCATAAAATGGATGTGTACAATGCCTTTCTTCAAGGAGATTTAACTGAAGAGGTATTCATGTGTATTCCACTAGGTTTTGTGGGATGTAACAACAGATCACTGGTATGTAAACTGCATAAATCATTCTATGGGCTTAAGCAAGCATCTCAGCAATGGAATATCAAACTCACTACAGCACTACTTGCATCAGGTTTTCAACAAAGCCACCTAGACTATTCCTTATTCACTAAAAAATCCTCAAGGCAGCTTGTGGTGGTTCTTGTGTATGTAGATGATCTCCTCATCACTGGAGATAACTTAGAGCTAATACAAGAGACTAAATCACAGTTGCAGGATAACTTCAAAATCAAAGATTTGGGAGAGCTGAAATATTTCCTGGGAATTAAGTTTGCCAGGGATCTTGATGCATCAAAGGAAGTATAGTCTGGAGTTAATTGCTGATCTGGGTTTATCGGGTTCTAAACCTTTGGGTTCACCTTTGGAATTGAATGCCCAGCTGACCACATTGGAGTTTGATACACACACAAACTCTACAGATGATGATGCTCTATTAGAGGATCCAGGACCATACCAAAGATTACTTGGAAGGCTGTTGTACTTGACAGTCACTAGGCCAGGCATCTCATTTGCTATCCATACACTAAGTCAGTTTATGCACAATCCTAAATCTTCTCAGATAGATGCTGCTCTCAGGATTGTGAGATACATCAAAAACTGTCCTGGACTAGGGGTGTTGATGAAAACTGATTGTTCTGGCTCACTAGCAGCTTTCTGTGATGCTGATTGGGCAGCTTGCCTCAACAGTAGGATATCTATAACAAGTTATTAGTAAAGTTTGGTGATTCCCTAATTTCATGGAAGTCCAAAAAACAATCAACAGTTTCCAGAAGTTCTGCTGAAGCAGAATATAGGAGTCTTGCCTCAACAGTGCCTGAGATTATTTGGCTCATTGGTTTGTTCAAGGAGTTAAGTGTTTCTTAACAAAAAATTACCCCCTCCGTTCCAATTTATGTGAACCTGTTTGACTGAGCACGAAGTTTAAGTAAAAAATGAAGACTTTTGGAATTTGTGGTCCTAAACAAGTTCAAATGGGGCCCAGAGTATTTGTGTGGTTATAAAAGCTTCTCATTAAGGGTAAAGTTGTAACTTTAAGCTAAATTGTTACCAAATTTAGAAAGGGTTCATTCTTTTTGGAACGGACCAAAAAGGAAATAGGTTCACATAAACTGGAACAGAGGGAGTATGTCTTTCATGAACGGACCAAACATATTGACATCGACTGTCATTTTGTACGTGAGAAGATCCAGTCAGGGTTGATCCACACTGTTTATGTCAATACTACTGATCAACAAGCTGACATCCTCACCAAAGGCCTGAGAAGAATGCAGCATAGCTATTTGTTATCCAAGCTAGGGATGAAGAACATCTTCACCTCCTCTAGCTTGAGGAGGGCTGTTGAGAGTATGAATATATTGAGTAGTGAAGTAACTTATCTTCGATTCACAAATTTATCACATTTATACTTATTGCCTTCTCCAAAATTTATTTATATACATCAGAAAATAGTTATTTAGAGTAATAAATTTAATATCTTTAGTACGTTACCAGTTAATTACCTTTGAAGGTATCATGTAGTGTCTAGACACCATGAATTGCTACTTTAATTGGTATATGCTTTTACAATTTTAAGAATTTGAAGCATTTTCAACGTTTACTCCTGCAAAAAAAAAATTTATTTTCTATTTGTTTATTACTAAATACAAATCAAAAAATGGAAGGCTATTTCCTCTTGGTTTTTCGATAAAATTACATGCATCTCACTAGACCGAATTGATCACCAATCTAAGCAAAACTTCCTTTTTTTTTTCTTTTTATCAAAATTTTCAAAACCATAATATTCTCTAGCTGAAAATAAAATAATCCAAACTTTTCTTGTACACCCCAAAAGAAAAAGAATAAGCAAAATAAATTAGTCTCTCACCATCCATAAGTAGTGAAGTTAAAGCTTTTCATTTCTGTTGCTGAAGAGGCCATTTTTCAGGTACCCAACACGTTGATTTCAAGCTCTGTTGCCTTCAAAGCAAGCTTTCTAATAAGTACTTCTTGTTTTTTTCCTCTAACCATAATGTATTAATTTATTAATACCATGCTATTAGCTGTAATTAATCTTTCTTTAATCTTACTCAATGTCCTTTGAACAAACACATCACGTTCTTTCTGAACTTTCTTTTTCTTCATTCTCTTTCTGTTACTGTACCAGTCAAAAACATTTTTCTTGTTGGAGTTACAACCTCATTTTCACATGAAAATTGCACCTCTAGTTAAATTGGTTCACTTTGCAACAAATTAATAATTATAAAAAAAAAAAAAGGTTTTCCCCCCACCTTGTGAGACTGTTTTGTTCAAAATCCATTGTTGTAAATTTAGTTTGGAGTAAAAAATGTGTCTTTTTTTCTTTTGGTAAATGGACTTTACTTGTGATATGTTGTGCGGACTCCCCAAAATAGTTGTCGTACCCGTATCGGATCCTCCAAAAAATATACTCCCTCCGTCTCATATTATCAGTCGTGGTTACTAAAAATAGTTATCTCAAATTATTTGTCATTTTAGAAGTTCAAGACAAAATTGATTATTTTTTTCCTTTTTTACCCTTAGTAATAATTGTTCTTGAAGATGGAGATAACACATAAATAGAATAAGTATTCAATGAAGAGATTATATCTTAAGACATAAATAAGGGTAGAATAGTCCAATCCATTTCCTAATTAATATTTCTTAAGGACCGCGTAAAAGAGAAACACGACACATAATATGAGAAAGAGGGGTACTAATTTTGGGGATCCGACACACACTCATCGACATTTTCGGAGAGTTCGAGCAACATAAATAATCATAAACCAAGACACGTTTTTTTTTTTTTGCTTTCCCATTTTAATGTGTTGCGAACTTTTTCAGAGGTGGAGCCATCTCTTGAAGTTTATGGATTCATGATTCTAATCCTTTTAAGTTACTAGGTTTTAAATTACCAATTTGTACTTATTTAATGACTTTCTTAAGACAAATATAGTATTTGAACGAAAGTTATTAGGTTCGGCCAAACTCGTAATCAAGTACTAGTTCCACCACGGAACTTTTGCATAAACATTTAAGTTAAATACACTTCTACTTTTTTTTTTTTTTCAATATAGTGAACTTTAAACTGTATTTACTTAATAAATTATCTAGATTGTGTAAATGCACCATTAGTTATATTAACCGTGCAATGAACTTTAATTCTAGCAGAAAAGGTTGGTAAGAGTATTAAACCATTGTTTCAAAATTGAAACATGGTTGAGGGAGTGGTCAGAAACCAGTCCAAGTGTAAAGTCTGTCTTTGCTGAAGAGAAAAGGCAGAAAGAGATGGTGGAATTTACCTTGTTAGTTACTGAAAGGTCCCTCTTGAAAACGTGTTCAACATTCTGAATCAGACTTTAAATCTTACATTTGGCACTTTACTTAGTTTTTGAGAGTCCATTGGCTTACACCCTTTAGTCTTTTTTCCATTATATAAAGTGGTCTTTCCACATATTTGTACACCATTTCATTTCAGAATCAAGACATATTTTTCTTCTTCATATCTTCCTTTTCTAGAGGTAACTTTTATTGAAGTGGTTTATAGTAGTTGTTTCTCTTCGCAAGATTTCTAGTTCAATTTTTGTGTAATACTGTCTCAGTTTTGATCTGAGGGTCTTTCGGAAACAGCCTCTCTACCCCTCGGGTAGGGGTAAGGTCTGCGTACACACTACCCTCCCCAGACCCCACTAGTGGGATTTCACTAGGTCGTTGTTGTTGCTGTACTGTCTCAGTTTTGATCCTTTCTTTCTCTTCTGCTTCAGCTTCTTCTTTTTGTCAGTTTCTTTGTGTATTCTTTTTGTCATTTTTGTTTCTATGTCAGCTCATGTTTGTAACATGTACTCATAATTGTGCCATAGACTTTGTGCATTGGATGATGCTTGCAACTAAACTATCTGAAAAGCTCCTAATTTTATACTCCTTATCAACTTTTAGTATATGCTTTGGTTGGAATTATCCCTGGTGCACTGATATTGACACGTCTTTAGCATGTCGGTGCGATCCTTTTATGGGGGCACAAAAAAGAAAAGAAAAGAAAAGAAAAGAAAAAGATGTAGCGAAGTTTATCCAGTTCTCTTTGTATCTGTAATCAGAGCATTCACATATGAAAGTCATATTGTGGAGGCTGATTAGGACATTGGGAGAATATGGTGGTTGTTAATTGGACAAATAAAAAGAGATATCCCTTTGGTTGTGGGATATGATTCCTTTTATCAGATGCAATACTTTTCTTTATTAATGCAAGTTCAAATGTAAAGATGACACCTAGATAGAAACTTACAGCTTTTTGCTGGATAAATTTCCTGTTACCTTACAGCCTATCTTAATGATGGACCAAATGAAGCATTAAATTCTGTTAAAATAATAATTAGGATACTGCAGACAAGCTTGGTTCTGAATCTAATACTTCCCTGTTTACCAGGTTTCATATTGCAGGAAAAGATGGTGAAGATTTGTTGCATTGGAGCTGGATATGTTGGTGGACCGACTATGGCGGTCATTGCCCTCAAGTGCCCCTCAATTGAAGTAGCTGTTGTTGATATCTCTGTTGCCCGAATTGCAGCATGGAATAGTGATCAGCTGCCTATCTATGAGCCTGGACTTGATGATGTGGTGAAGCAACGCCGAGGAAAGAACCTTTTCTTTAGTACTGAAGTAGAGAAACATGTCTCAGAAGCAGATATCATCTTTGTTTCTGTTAACACCCCAACGAAAACTCGTGGACTTGGAGCTGGGAAAGCAGCAGACCTTACATACTGGGAGAGTGCTGCTCGAATGATAGCAGACGTATCCAAGAACGATAAGATTGTTGTGGAGAAATCAACTGTTCCTGTGAAAACAGCTGAGGCAATCGAGAAAATACTCAGTCATAACAGCAAGGGAATTAACTATCAAATCCTCTCAAATCCAGAATTTCTTGCTGAGGGAACTGCAATTCAGGATCTTTTCAATCCAGATCGCGTTCTAATTGGAGGAAGAGACACCCCTGAAGGGCAAAAGGCGATCCACGCCCTCAAACAAGTGTATGCGCATTGGGTGCCTGAAGACAGAATCATCTGCACCAATCTCTGGTCAGCCGAGCTCTCAAAGCTCGCTGCCAACGCCTTCTTGGCTCAGAGGATTTCATCTGTTAATGCAATGTCAGCACTTTGTGAAGCTACTGGGGCTGATGTTACACAAGTTTCCAACGCTGTTGGTAAGGACACCCGAATTGGTCCCAAGTTCCTCAATGCCAGCGTTGGTTTTGGTGGTTCTTGTTTCCAAAAGGATATCCTCAACTTGGTTTACATATGTGAATGTAATGGCCTTAAAGAAGTTGCCAATTACTGGAAGCAAGTGATCCAGGTGAATGACTACCAAAAGAATCGGTTTGTTAACCGAATGGTTTCCTCAATGTTTAACACAGTTTCTGGAAAGAAGGTTGCAATTCTTGGTTTTGCCTTCAAGAAAGACACAGGTGACACTAGGGAAACTCCTGCAATTGATGTGTGTAAAGGCTTGTTGGGAGACAATGCTCATCTGAGCATATATGATCCACAGGTCACTGAGGATCAAATAACAAAGGATCTCTCAATGAAAAAGTTTGATTGGGATCATCCAACTCACCTCCAACCAATGAGCCCTTTTGCAGTAAAGCAAGTTAACGTCGTCTGGGATGCTTATGAGGCAACAAAAGACGCCCACGGTGTCTGCATTCTCACTGAGTGGGATGAGTTCAAAACACTTGATTTCAAGAAGATTTACGATACCATGCAAAAGCCTGCATTCGTGTTTGATGGGAGGAACGTTGTTGACGCGGAGAAGCTCAGAGAAATCGGGTTCATTGTCTACTCCATTGGAAAACCTTTGGATGCATGGCTCAAGGATATGCCCGCTTTGGCATGAGAAATCTCAGGTTGCCTTCCCCTGGTTTAAGCACTAGAAATGAGAGGAAGATCCAATTCTTTCAATTTTTTTCAACTTCAGGCCTTTAAATTACTATTTTCCAATTGCATGGTTCAAAATATGTCCTTTTTTCTTTACTTTCAGTTTAAACGTCAGCTTCCCAGCTCATTATACAATCACTTTGTACTACAATAACAAAATTGCCTTGTTCTGATTAGTTCGGGCATTTTCTTCTTGATATATATTTTATAATTCAGACTCCGTTTTTTGTTTTCAACAATGGATGGAAAAACTCTTTTTTTTAATATATAGAAAGATGAGCAAAAGCAAAGCTAGTGACTTCTAAAACTTAAAGATCTAAGGGGTCATTTGGTAGGAGGTAATAGAAAAAATAATGCAAGCATTAGCTCTATGCATTACTAATACTTTGTTTGATACACTTTTTCAACCTGTGTATAACTAAAACTTGTATTAATTATACATTATACTTGGTATTATCTTATGTATAAGTAATGCATAAAAAACTATGGCATTAGTAATACCAAGGCTGTTAATGCATGCATTAGCATGGTTAAAGACAAAATTGTCCTTAAAGTCTCTTAAAGCTAGAGAATATGAAGGGTATTTCTGTAGACAATTATTTTTCTTAAAACTTATGCAATGCATTATAATTTTAATACACCACACCAAACAGTAGATAAGAAATAATATCTGTATAACTAACGCTTGCATTACTAACACATACATTACTAATCCATGTATTACTAATACACCTTATTCCGCACTATTCTTATACACCCTACCAAACGACCCCTAACTTTCTTGCAGAAGCAAATGATCAAAAGAATCGTTTTGTTAGCAGAGTTGACTCCTCAATGTTCAACACAATCTCTGGAAAGATTACTATTCTTGGATTTGTTTTCAAGAAATTTTCTTGCACTCTGTTCTGATTATTATTTATCATCATTGTGTATTGTTCTTACATATTGTACTGTATTGTTTTCTGAAAACTATGTTTGAATAGATTGTATTCTTTGTCATGGTTTAATAACAATTTTTCAAATCAATAATTGTACCAAAACAGAATTTATCCAGAATTGTACTGCTAATTTTTCTGAAGCTGATGCTAATATCAGAATTTATCCATAATTACTCATAATAATAGTTTAACACCAGTTTTTTCTCCTAATTTATCACCAATTATCCTTGAAACTAGATAGGACCAAAACAGAAGGTGAATTTTGGGGCTTTTGCATCTATACCCTGTTTTGCAATCACAATTGAATCTATACCCACTTTGCAAAAAAGTTTGCAAGTCTACCCACTTTACGATCAACTTCAGACTTATCAGATCTGAAGTTAAGAAAAATTAGTCTGAAGTGAAAAAACTACACTTCAAATACACTTAAGGTCAAATAGGTCTGAAGTGCAGCCAATGATTTCATGCATTTAAGGCTAATAAGTCTGAAGTGGAAAATTACACTTCAAATGCACTTAAGGCCAAAAAATCTGAAGTGCAATAAACGTTTTCATTCACTTAAGGTCAATAAGTCTAAAGTTAAAATTTGCACTTCAAATACACTTAAGGCCAAATAGGTCTTAAGTGTAACCAATGATTTCATGCAATTAAGGCCAATAAGTCTGAAGTGAAAATTTCACTTCAGATGCACTTAAGGCCAAAAGGTCTGAAGTGCAACAAACATTTTGCTATACTTAAAGGCCAATAAATCAGAAGTGAAAAATTACACTTAAGGCCAAAAGGTCTAAAGTGCAACCAACGAATTATAACATCCAATATACGATTTAATACCTAAATCTACTCCAAATGAACTCAAATTTGAAACATAACCTCCAAATATCATCAGGAACAAACATCAATCATCAATTTGTCAAAACAACAATAAATCTAATGAATCTATTTTGCAATTAAAAAAAAAAAAGAAACTCTAAGCAATAGTAAAAAATAAAACGTCATAACAGCTCACCACTGTAAAACATCATAAACTACCTTAAAATATATTCACAAACACCATATAAAATCATTGTCACCCGAAGAAGAAGAAGAAAGAAGAAGACGAAGGAGGAGGAGAAAGAGATCTTAAGTTGTTTAAAAAGTGAGTACAAGTTAAAAATATTTTTAAAAAGTGGGTATAAGTTAAATGGGGGCGCCCAATATTTGGTCGCCCGTACAATTTTTCAGTGAATTTTGATGTGCATTAGCGAAAAGACAAGTTCATTTCTAATTGTTATTATTAAACGACATAGCATTGGCACCCACATCAATCACTAGACAAGCCGTCCGCACATCATTTGGAATCACGAGTTATTGCTAGTAATCAACAATCTACCGCACTAAATATTACTGAGCTACCAAGGAACAACGGACTTAATTAAGGAAGCCGACTCTAGTTCTAGTGGCCAATCCATGACCAAATAAAAATGAGTCCGTACACCAGGAGAAAAGGGAAAAAGAATATCAAGACTACAAAAAGAAAATGATATTCCGACTATATAAGAATTTCTTCTTTTGAACATGTTTGCCCCTCAACTTTAGCTAGATTTGTTGACTTATTCTTGCTTGTTTCTTCTTTAAATTGTTGAATCCTTCCCGCAACACCTACATAAACCACAACAGCAAGACAATAAGCACAAAAAAAAGGGGAGGGTAGGGTGGCAGAGTAGGCTGGAGAAGCCACTATTGATGCAGTTCCTTTATCCCCCTCTTCCTCACAACTTTATTGCCTTCTTCCCTCCCCCTTTTCTCCTAGATCTTGAGAGTAGAGATTGGGCAAGTATCCTACGGTGATATCTCCAGGAAACAGCTCATCTACACCAGTTGGTTATACTCTAACAATTCTTAAATTCAGTAGCTGATGGGCTAATGAGTTAACTCAGACATGCAAGTCCTTCGTGTCACGTGAGAAAAGGGGGGAGGGCGGGCTAACGCAGAAGAGGAAAATAACAGGAACAGCGGAGCTCCTTTTGGAGAGAGACAGAGAGAGGGGAGATAACATTATAATATATGGTCAAATACTAATTGTATACATAATCTATAAACCATATTCAGTGTTCCAGTGCACAAAATATTTCGAATATCCAATATACAAGCATACAGAAAAGACGAGCAAACATATTCTGGATGGTTTGCAGCCATTTATGTAGATGAACAGTTAAAGAGCCTCAGAAACTCAC